AGCATTTTTCCGCAGCATTTTTGCAGAAACATTAAACATGATTTCCTATGGGACAGGTTCACATCTTCGCGTTTTCACCCGGGGCGTTTTTTTTTGGAAAGGGTCAGGGACTTTTTTGAATGTAAAAAGCTGAGGGTTTTTTTTGGTTCTATAGACTTCAATGGAAACGCTGGAGCGTTTTTGCTGCGTTTGGCATTTTAAATCTGCCTAGCAACAAGAAAAAAACGCAGGTTAAAATTACAAAATGCAATGCAGAAATGGTGCAAACGCAAACTGCGTAGGTGTGAACCGAGCCTTATGTGCAAAGCCTAGAACCCCCCCCCCATGGCATTAGATATCTCTTCCTAAGTACAGAGGCCAAGAAAAGGAGATTTACTTGACGGGTTGCTAAGCGTTACGTGACTTTTTTTTTTTTTTTGTTCTATAGACTTCATTGGAAACGCTGCAGAAAAGCACGTGGAGCGTTTTTGCTGCATTTTGCAACAAGAAAAAAAAAAATGCAATACAAAAATGGCTCAAACGCAAACTGCATAGGCGTGAACCTAGCCTTATGTACGAAACCTAGAACCCCCCCCCCCCCCACCATAACATTAGAAACCTCTTCTTAAGTACAGAGGTCAAGAAAAGGAGATTTGGATTTTAAATCCGCCTAGCAACAAGAAAAAAAAAAGTAAAATGTCTCAAAAACGCAGCAAAATCGCATAAAAATGCAGGTGCAAAAATGCAACTGGTGCAACCGGCTACCCAGCATGCACCTCCTGTGAAGAAAGCGCGGCGCACTCATGACATAGCGCAGGATGCCCATTGACTTCTGGGATTGGAGACACATATATTCCAGGAACCAATGGGAGGGAAGATGTGACGTACCACGCCGCGGCGAGGTACATCGAAGGTGCAGTGCTTCAGGCAGCCCAAAGGTATGAAAACTTTGGGAGAAAAAAAAATGTGCCAAACATTGATGGGATAGAAGGAAGCAATACATGGGGCCAAATTTTAAAAATCGGGGTGGGGGACCCCACTTTGTGTCCGGATTCATAGTGATGCGGTGCGGAATTCACAGCGGTTTCTGTGCGAATTCCACACCGCATCACAATCGCACCCCATATGTTAACATCCTGAAATCAGTTCTCAAAACGCGGTGCGATGTGCAGAATCGGATCACATGGGTGTGAATGCAATCCGATTCTACTGAGGACCAAAACAAGGCTCCTGCACCTTTTTAGTGCGGATGCGGTGCGATTTGAGCCATAGAAAATGTATGGTTCATATTGCACCGTACAGCATTCACATGTGATTTGCACAGGAATCACATGCGATATGCTGCACCGCATAAGTGTGACCCCAGGCTATGGATTGGTGCACACTGCTGCTCCTAAACTGATGTTTTTTGGGGCTTTTGCTGTTTTTTTTTTTTCCTAAGTCCTTGAAACACACCTCAGTTAGGCTTCCAGGTTTTAGGACCCTTTCACCCGGGCGTTCTGTATGTCCGTTTACGGATGAAAAATGGACACCCATGTATTTCTATGGACTAAAGGACGTAAACGGATGAAAAAACTGATAGATATCCCAGACCCCGCATTCACTATATCCGCTCTCCCCGGACCCCGCATTCACAATATCCGCTCTCCCTGGACCCCGCATTCACTATATCCGCTCTCCCCGGACCCGCGTTCACTATATCCGCTCTCCCTGGACCCCGCATTCACTATATCCGCTCTCCCTGGACCCCGCATTCACTATATGCGCTCTCCCCGGACCCCGCGTTCACTATATCCGCTCTCTCCCCGAACCCCGCATTCACTATATCCGGTCTCCCCGGACCCCACGTTCACTATATCCACTCTCCCCGGACCCTGCATTCACTATATCCGCTCTCCCCGGACCCCGCATTCACTATATCCGCTCTCCCCGGACCTCGCATTCACTATATCCGCTCTCCCCGGACCCCGCATTCACTATATCCGCTCTCCCCGGACCCCGATTTCACTATATCCGCTCTCCCCGGACCCGGCATTCACTATATCCGCTCTCCCCGGACCCCGCATTCACTATATCCGCTCTCCCCGGACCCCGCATTCACTATATCCGCTCTCCCCGGACCCCGCATTCACTATATCCGCTCTCCCCGGACCCCGCATTCACTATATCCGCTCTCCCCGGACCCCGCATTCACTATATATGGTCTCCCCGGACTCTGTATTCACTATATCCGCTCTCTCCCCGGACCCCGCATTCACTGTATCTGCTCTCCCCGGACCCCGCATTCACTATATCCCCTCTCCCCGGACCCCGCATTCACTATATCTGCCCCCCCGGACCCCGCATTCACTATATCCGCTCTCCCCGGGACCCCGTATTCACTGTATCCGCTCTCCCCGGACCCCGCATTCACTATATCCGCTCTCCCCGGACCCCGCACTCACTATATCCGCTCTCCCCGGACCCCGCATTCACTATATCCGCTCTCCCCGGACCCTGCATTCACTATATCCGCTCTCCCCCCGGACCCCGCATTCACTATATCCGCTCTCCCCGGACCCCGCATTCACTATATCCGCTCTCCCCGGACCCCGCATTCACTATATCCGCTCTCCCCGGACCCCGCATTCACTATATCCGCTCTCCCCCCCGGACCCCGCATTCACTATATCCGGTCTCCCCGGACCCCGCATTCACTATATCCGCTCTCCCCGGACCCCGCATTCACTATATCCGGTCTCCCCGGACCTCGCATTCACTATATCCGCTCTCCCCGGACCCCGCATTCACTATATCCGCTCTCCCCGGACCCCGCATTCACTATATCCGCTCTCCCCGGACCCCGCATTCACTGTATCCGCTCTCCCCGGACCCCGCATTCACTATATCCGCTCTCCCCGGACCCCGCATTCACTATATCCGCTCTCCCCGGACCCCGCATTCACTATATCCGCTCTTCCTGGACTAACAGATAAAAATAGGACAAGTGTAGGAAAAACAAGAGGGCCAGGGTACTAGTATGAGCCCAGTCAATGTTCGTTCAAGACAGGAAGGCAACGCGTTTCAGGGGATTAAAAAGCTCAAAACTCTAAACCTTAAACTCCTCCTTTGTAGTGGTAGGAACCTATGCGGCAAGGATTAACTGCTCATGTCTAGAGCAGGGGTCTCCAAACTGCAGCCCTGGGGCCAGATGTGGCCCTTTGCTTGTCTTTACCTGACCGTTGGGGCACTATTCCTTCCACTGATAAGAAACACTATTCTGTCAACTGATACCAACAATAGGGCACCATTCCTCCCACTGACACCAATGATGGGGCACTATTCCTCCCACTGACACCAATGATGGGGCACTATTCCTCCCACTGACACCAATGATGTGGCACTATTCCTCCCACTGACACCAATGATGGGGCACCATTCCTCCCACTGACACCAATGATGGGGCACTATTCCTCCCACTGACACCAATGATGGGGCACTATTCCTCCCACTGACACCAATGATGGGGCACTATTCCTCCCACTGACACCAATGATGGGGCACTATTCCTCCCACTGACACCAATGATGGGACACTATTCCTCCCACTGACATCAATGATGGGACACTATTCCTCCCACTGACACCAATGATGGGACACTATTCCTCCCACTGACACCAATGATGGGGCACTATTCCTCCCACTGACACCAATGATGGGGCACTATTCCTCCCACTGACACCCATGATGGGGCACTATTCCTCCCACTGACACCAATGATGGGGCACTATTCCTCTCACTGACACCAATGATGGGGCACTATTCCTCCCACTGACACCAATGATGGGGCACTATTCCTCCCACTGACACCAATGATGGGACACTATTCCTCCCACTGACACCAATGATGGGGCACTATTCCTCCCACTGACACCAATGATGGGGCACTATTCCTCCCACTGACACCAATGATGGGACACTATTCCTCCCACTGACATCAATGATGGGACACTATTCCTCCCACTGACACCAATGATGGGACACTATTCCTCCCACTGACACCAATGATGGGGCACTATTCCTCCCACTGACACCAATGATGGGGCACTATTCCTCCCACTGACACCCATGATGGGGCACTATTCCTCCCACTGACACCAATGATGGGACACTATTCCTCTCACTGACACCAATGATGGGGCACTATTCCTCCCACTGACACCAATGATGGGGCACTATTCCTCCCACTGACACCAATGATGGGACACTATTCCTCCCACTGACACCAATGATGGGGCACTATTCCTCCCACTGATACCCATGATGGGGCACTATTCCTCCCACTGACACCAATGATGGGGCACTATTCCTCCCACTGACACCCCATGATGGGACACTATTCCTCCCACTGACACCAATGATGGGGCACTATTCCTCCCACTGACACCAATGATGGGACACTATTCCTCTCACTGACACCAATGATGGGGCACTATTCCTCCCACTGACACCAATGATGGGGCACTATTCCTCCCACTGACACCCATGATGGGGCACTTTTCTACTCCCACTGGGCATGGTTCGGCCCCCCTAAAGCCTGAAAGACCATTAACTGGCCCTTTGCTTACAAAGCCTGGTGACCCCTGGTCTAGGAGATTTAGATAAATAGATAGCTTTAGAAAAACAACAGACTTACTGGCAGGATCACCAGGTGAAAACGAAGGAAAAAAGCCTAAAAAGAAAACTAATGCAGCCATCACATCTAAGAATAGCTAAGCTGCAATATAATGTCAGTCTGGGGGGGAGGGGAGAGTTAGATGGACTAGCAGATTTAGATACACTAACAAATTGAAGCCAAGCTCTAGCTCCCACTTTATAATCAGTTAAAGTAACGGTCTCCTTCCTTGCAGGATAAAGGATTTACATCAATAAAAGCTGATCATTGTAAGCACCCCCTGTCAGTGGTAAATGGTTTGTCTCATCCCTGTAAACTGATACATTCTGTTGGAGAGCTTGAGCTTGTGAAAAAACAACAGACTTACTGGCTGGATCACCAGATGAAATTAGAATGATGGCGTGAGTGCTGTATGTCTGCTGGCCGCCTCTTTCCGCAACTTCCTGGACTCCCAGCATGCTTTGCAGCTTCTCTTCTATTTCTAAGGACTACATAGCCCATGGTACCTGGCGGACTCCTGTACTGGCTCCGCCTCCTCATGTCCCATAAAGTCAGAAGGACAAAAAAACGGCCCTTTTTGTGGAAAGCTTGGAGACCCCCTCCGGTCTAGAGGACGGGGAAAGCATTTTTCTTACCTGATCCTCCACTCCCCCCGGCAGACAGTGCTCCCCCATGCTCCGGCAGTGGACCGCACCTCAGAATACTAATGTCGAATGCAGGGCTATGGGCCCTGTATCAGTCGTGATGATGTCACAGTTTCTTAGAATACTGGAGCATAGGGGAGGAGAGGCTGCCAGGGCCGATCTAACGAGGCAGAGGAGCCTGCCGAAGTGGAGGATCAGGTAAGTCAATCTGCTGTGTGTGGCCCCCGCCCCACGGACACAAGTAAATGGTTATCACGCGGTTTGCATTGAGTTCAGATTATAAACGATTATTGTGAAAACGGGACAAGCGATGCTGCAGAAATATGTGGAAGACGTTTGGCTGCCCTATGCGGCGTTTTAAAAAATCGCAAGCAGGAACGCTCGTGAGGTCAGAATGGGGCCCATAAAAAAAAGAATCTGCTGGCAGGATCAACAGGTAATAAAAATTTTTTTTGGGGGGGGGGGGGGGGGGCTGGGAGACTCGACAAACCGCGTTTCTAGTGACGGAACGGCGTCATAGATGTCATCTCTATGGAAGTATTTATATCCGGACAGATTAAACGGCGATTATTATGATGACCAGATCCCGCATGAACTGACGCGTGCGTTGCGTTTCGGGGGTCCTCGGTGACAGGCGTATCGCAGGCCGGCTGCCACTCACCCTCGGAGCTCGTGTCTCGGTGAGCGCCTTTGCTGTAAATATTATTTCAGAGCGATATTCCCAGCAGATCCCGGGAGCGAGGATTGAGGATCTGACTCCAAAACACGGAGAACAATGCCGCAGTCATGGCTGCCAGCCGCCGCGCACAAGAAGGCTTTGCATGGCCCAGCAACGGACGCAGGACTGCCGGGCGCTCGCCTGGTGTTTACACGCCAAACATACGCCTGTGGCAGGGCTCCGCGTCCACACCGCTCACCTGACAGCCAGGGGTAGCTGACTGTGCCACAGTGGGGTAGGTGACTGTGCCACGGTGGGGTAGGTTTCTGTGCCACGGTGGGGTAGGTGTCCGTCCCACGGTGGGGTAGGTGTCTGTGCTACGGTGGGGTAGTTTTCTGTGCCATGGTGGGGTAGGTGTCTGTGCCATGGTGGGGTAGGTGTCTGTGCCATGGTGGGGTAGGTGTCTGTGCTAGGGTGGGGTAGGTGTCTGTGCCACGGTGGGGTAGGTGTCTGTGCTAGGGGTGGGGGGTAGGTGTCTGTGCCACGGTGGGGTAGGTGTCTGTGCTAGGGTGGGGTAGGTGTCTGTGCCACGGTGGGGTAGGTGTTTGTGCCACGGTGGGGTAGGTGTCTGTGCCACGGTGGGGTAGGTGTCTGTGCCGCGGTGGGGTACGTGTCTGTGCCGCAGTGGGGGAAGGTGCCTGTGCCACGGTGGGGTAGGTGTCTGTGCTGCGGTGTGGTAGGTGTCTGTGCCATTGTGGGGTAGGTGTCTGTGCCATGGTGGGGTAGGTGTCTGTGCCACGGTGGGGTAGTTTTCTGTGCCAGGGTGTGGTAGGTGTCTGTGCCACGGTGGGGTAGGTGTCTGTGCCGCGGTGGGGTAGGTGTCTGTGCCACGGTGGGGTAGGTGTCTGTGCCACGGTGGGGTAGGTGTCTGTGCTGCGGTGGGGTAGGTGTCTGTGCCATTGTGGGGTAGGTGTCTGTGCCGCGGTGGGGTAGGTGTCTGTGCCATGGTGGGGTAGGTGTCTGTGCCGCGGTGGGGTAGGTGTCTGTGCCACGGTGGGGTAGGTGTCTGTGCTAGGGTAGGTGGGGTAGGTGTCTGTGCCACGGTGGGGTAGGTGTTTGTGCCACGGTGGGGTAGGTGTCTGTGCCACGGTGGGGTAGGTGTCTGTGCCGCGGTGGGGTACGTGTCTGTGCCGCGGTGGGGGAAGGTGCCTGTGCCACGGTGGGGTAGGTGTCTGTGCTGCGCGTGTGGTAGGTGTCTGTGCCATTGTGGGGTAGGTGTCTGTGCCATGGTGGGGTAGGTGTCCATCCCACGGTGGGGTAGGTGTCTGTGCCGCGGTGGGGTACGTGTCTGTGCCGCGGTGGGGGAAGGTGCCTGTGCCACGGAGGGGTAGGTGTCTGTGCCACGGTGTGGTAGGTGTCTGTGCCATTGTGGGGTAGGTGTCTGTGCCATGGTGGGGTAGGTGTCCATCCCACGGTGGGGTAGGTGTCTGTGCCATTGTGGGGTAGTTTTCTGTGCCAGGGTGTGGTAGGTGTCTGTGCCATGGTGGGGTAGGTGTCTGTGCCGC